CAGTTGAAACTAAAATAAATACAATATTCAAATAAAAATGGATTTATTTTAGTTTCAACTGTTAAAATGTGAAAGCATCACCATTGTACATTTGATGAAATGGTTACTAAAAACTTCAAGTCCAGTGTCAGTGGGTTTTGAATGGTGTGATCCAATAGATTGTTAGAACTTTTGCTAGTCGTTAGTGTTTAGTTTGGATAATGAATAATTGACTATATCTTGAAAAAAATTGTTTCAAAGTAAAATACAAGAATATTGTGCTCACTTACTTTATTTTACAACATTTGATGTCAAAGTGATGTTTCTCAGGTGATACTCAAATGTTGAGGCCTATGTTGGGATGAGTTGTTACTAGTTTTTTGTTTTTTTGTTTTTTTTGTTTTTTTTTTTTCATTCTTCCTCTGCAAGTTCCAGGAGATCTTCAATGTTAAATCGGAACAAATGCCAGCCTTCTTCACAGGAAAGGTCTAAAGCTCCTAGGCGAGTGTAGTACTCAACGGAATCCTGATTCCAAATGATGACAAGAAACTGCATGGCATTACAATGGGTACTGATGGCTATCTGTTTTAAAACAAACAAGTAGATATAACTCTTATTTGACAGTATAGTCATTCATATTTTATTGAAGGTCTGTTATATACAGTGCTATATATGTACGATAATTTTGAAATGCTATAAGTGTTTTTGGTCAACAAATCTTTTATATTAGTGCAAGTCACGCTGTGGGTCTATTTAATGAGTAAACTTGTCTTTTCTCTCCCTCATGCTTATTTGTCCTTGATGGTACAAAACATAAATATTGTGTTTGTACATTATATAGAACTAAAATTTAATTAAATATAATTTAGAGAATCTGAATTTTCAACTTGAAAACCCACTTTAATATTTGAAGTACATGTTGTAAAAGTGTTTCGTTTATGCAAATGCTCATGTTCAAATGGGTCTGGGGTGCACGTGTGTGCGATGCAGTGGCAGTCAGAGAGCAACTTCGGATGTTATCCCTCAGCTGCTTTCCACTTTTTGTTTGATATCAAGTCTCTTACTTACTGGCCTGAAATTTCACCAAGTATGTTGGGGTTGCAGCCACTAAACACAGGATTAAATCTTTGCCATTGCTGACATAAAATTGTGTGCCACCACTCCTGGCTTTTCATGTAAGTTCTGGGGATTGGGTTTATCTCCTCATGTTTGCAAGGCCTTATCAGCTGAGCCAGTCCTGGTATATTTAATTAGTAAGATTAGTCACCTAACCTATAACCTATTAAATAATTCTTGATGAAGAAAAAGATAATATATAGTCTATTAGTACTAACTAAAACACATACCTGACTTAGCTTCTTCAGCATGTCAGCCCCAATACCTATACCTATTAAACAGACATTTTCAGAGAAAGGCTGTAAGTTGAAACTTTTTATGTAACTAGTCATTTACTTTGGTTTTAAATCAAAGATCAAACTCTATTTATGGTTACCATATATTCTAAATAGCATGTGTTGAGACTCATTCACGAATGCTTTAAATTTTCTTTTATCTTACTGAAGTATGTCATTAATGATAATGCAAGAGATTAGTTTTATTTTTAAAATCCATGGTGAATAAATGAGTTTCTGTCACTGTGTTCTTTCTTTTTCTTGAGAAATGGTCTCACCATCTGTTGCTGGATGGCTTGGAACTCAAATTCACAGAGGCCCACCATCCTCTGCATCCCAGATACTGGAATTTAAGGTGGGTGTCACCATGCTGGCCGTCACTGTTTGCTCAGAACAGGGCATATTTCTTATTTATATCTACTAAAAACAAACTGCATAGCTTACTTGAGTGTGTTGATGAATGCTATTGAAATAGTTTCTAGCTTGTGGTTGACTCTTCACTGCACTAGGATCCTGATCAGGCTCAAGAAATGGAAATGAGTTATTTAAATAACTTAAAAACATAGCTATGCTTATCTGTAGCTCTTATATTAAAATGTAACTTAGAAATTCTTAGTGTTTGCAAGTAATATTATGATTGTAGTTTTACCTTGATAATCTTCAGTGATATAAAAATCCTCTAGGTGAAGCAGTTTGCCAATCCATGGGTCGTAAGTGAAATAGTACATGGCAAATCCAATAGTTTTCAGTCCTGGGATGAGAAGGAGGCAAAGAGGCTAGTGCTTTTTACATCATAAAAAGGTGTATGTCTTCAAATAGAATAAAAAGGGTATTTTTATTTGCTGCTTTAACTATTAAAGCAGTAAGTGGTTGCTAGACCAAGTATCATTACATAAACATATAATGTAGAAAGTTTACTTTTCTTATAATACAGCCTTTAAAAGAAAATATAGTTTGATGCATGTTGTTATACTTTTTAAATAGTTTTAAAATCAGAGTGACCTAACAGTGTTATTTAAAAGTACACAGGGTTGGACATTGTACTCCTCTGCTTAATACTGTTTACACAAGGTGTATTTATTAGTTAAGTCTGTTTTCAGATATAGAAAA